AAATACTTTGTTTTTTAAAGAGTTACTGCAAGACAAAATACAAGTCCTTTCGCTCCTTTGCTTCAAAATATCGGAGTAAAAATCGTAAGAATTTGATGGGATTTTTGTGCTTTCGTCAATGTTTTTAGTGAAGTCACGTTTTTACGACTAAAAGAGAACTTTAAAAGGACGAGTTTCATATTGTTTGTATAATTACATGTGAAAAAGGGGCACCTTGCCCAAACAGTCCACTAGGAACAGTGATTGTATAATTACAAGCGAAAAGGCGCACCTTGTAGAAAAGCCATCTCAACATTTAATTTCTTTTTTAAAAGTTTTTTCTTTACTTGTTTAAGTATGAGCTAAATTACAAGAACAGAGAAGATTGATCAGTAATACGTGCCGTATTATGAGTAATAAAACTGAAAGCACCTTTAATCACATACTTTTTTGACTAGTCCAGTACGGGTTTCCATAAGGCTTAAGATAAAACGAAGTCCAGATTGAAAGAAAAACCACAAACTGATATATATTCAATTGGTATTGTGGTTAGGATTTCGGGGTCTGGATCGGAAGGTTCAAGGTTCAAGCCACATATGTTGTCCAATACGTTCAACTGGGGATAATTATAGCTACGACAATCAATTCCGTTGTTCACTTAACAATAATGGCACAAGTAAATAGATCGAATTAGTGATGACTGAACCATAAGGTTCTCTTACCTAGCCGTTTAGTCCACGTGCTGCACCAGGTGCCGCTCAGGCAAAGATTAACCAATAACTGAGAAAGTATAGGCTAACAACTCGTAACATAATATAGAGGTGGTATATGAATATAGCATCATAATAAAACTTACTTATAGAGAGGAATAAGGATTAGGGGAGTCAACACAAAGAACTGCATATCATTGGACAGGTACCATCCATGGGCAAGACACTGAAAACAGAAAGTTTCTTTCAGTGGTTTAAGTACATCATATAAGTTAATGTTTCTGTGTTCCGGAAGTAACATATACTTTCATTAATAGTATTAATTATACTAGCTAATATATCTAAGGTCATTTCTTTATATTTTGATTTATTGTCTATTATTATACTTGCATTATAAAGAACATTTTACAATGTTAGCTTAATATGTGTATTTAGGGCTAACCTAAGTCTCCTAAACTAGACGAACCTCGTGAGATATTATTGGGATTACGACCGAGAATATCGTTAACAGCGAGGATACCTAAATGATGAAACGATGGATGCTAATCTTTATAAGTAGAAACGTAAGTAAATGTTATGCTTAATTAGCTAGACTGATGGCCAGGTTGATTTTTAGCTTCGTTGTAAGTACGTAGCTTACTCTGATTGGAAGATTGAATACCAATAAATATGTTATTTTTAACATGTTAGTAATTTTAACTAATTCACAGCTATGGACGTAAGTAAAGATAATTTTGTTAGAGAGTGAGGAATTTGTTGAAATTTAGCAAGGAACTAGAATGTTGATAAATAATTAATTAATTATTAATTTGTCACTTGTGGAACCAGATTATTGTTTCAACTTTATTGCGTTCTTATAACTCTTTTCTTTATTTTAAAAGTTAAATTAGCAGTACATTATTGCTAAGCCTTATTGGTCATCAGAGGGTTAAAAATAATATGCTCTTTTGTTACTCAGGAAAGTTCAGAATTTTGCCTAGAAATGTGAAATTTATACTCAGGTGGTCATCCGGTGGGACAGTAGTAAGCTTATGGACTTACAACGATAAACTCCGGGGTTCGATATCCGGCAGTAGACCCTGCAGATAACCCAATGTATCTTTGCACTTAAACAAACCAACTAAGATAAAATCAGCCGACTTTTTTTTGGTTTGTTTGTTTGACACGTATCTTACAACCATGATTCATCTTTGCACAATACTAAACTATATTTTGACTTTAGAAGTAGAGTTACAGATTTTGCTTACAAGAACTTGTCATTATTAGTGAAACTTCCGTAGTAACACCAGCTTTTAAACAGCTCGAACACAAATCTCGAATATTTCACGTTAAAAAAACACTGTATACTTACTATTGATATAGAAAGATGGCTGTGATCTGAATATATATATATATATATATAAAGAAAAATCATTTTTCATAAATAACTAATCAGTAGAAAAGTTTGTCAATTATTTTTCAACATCACTTACAATTTCTTGGGATTTCACGAAGTTGCTGATGTAAAGAAGTGATGCCCACCAGGTTTTTTGACAAAAATTTGCCTGACTAACGACAATATCGTTCCAAAATGGGCCACGTGACATGACTTTCCAAACAACGGTGAGGGCGATAATGAGGGCGTAAGGTGGCGTCAATCTTCATTTAGAATAATTAATAACTGATTAAGTTATGGAAATGATGGATAACCATGTCTCAAATTAAATATCCTAATATACAATATAGTGTTATGTCTCTATGGTTACAATTAAAGCTCCTAACGTACAGTACAGTGTTATGTTTCTATGGCTACAATTAAAGCTCTTAATATACAATACAGTGTTATGTTTCTATGGCTACAATTAAAGCTCCTAACGTACAGTACAGTGTTATGTTTCTATGGCTACAATTAAAGTTCCTAACGTACAGTACAGTGTTATGTTTCTATGGCTACAATTAAAGCTCGTAACATACAGTACAGTGTTATGTGTTTAAACTTAGTAATTATTAAGCTATGGCATCCATAAGCAGTGTGTAGAAACAACCGACGTCATGTTTTATATATTACTTTTTACAGCTTAAATTCTGGTACAATGATTTATAAAACTAGGAAATATATTTTCATTTATTTTGGAATATACATTTATTAAATTAACAATCAGATTACTCTAGTAGAAGTAAAGTTAAAAAGCTACTAGTACAATGACTCACTAGTTTCTTATTGATAAAATATGGATAAAGTCGTCTGGATAAAACTTCTCACTTGGAACTTACCAAAATCTCAACCAACAAAAGACCGTGCTATTTTAAACACGAACATTTACTAGTAGTATCATGAATAGGTTATTGTTTTGTATGGCAAAACATTTTTTTTCATTTTTTTAAACTCCTTGGCGAAACGTTATTTTAAAGGTATATTTGAATAAATAAATATATATATATATATATATATATTCATTTAGTTTTTAATAAAACATATCAACTACACACATTGGTGGATAGTTTTAGTTATCTAAAGTTTTTTAACTTACCTCAAAAACCGATGAAAATAGTACAGAGGTAAATTTAAATGGCCGTTATTTTTCTTCATCACTTTTAAGGTAATGTAGGTCACCAGTAAACCACTAAAAAATTAAAATAAAACAATTTTTAGGTTATAAAATAAATCGAAAGAAGTTGCAAAAGATAATAGTTTAATAAACACAAATATATAAGTCGTGTACAATAGCAGATAGACAGAAATTGAAATATAACTGGTAAAACAACAAACATTTGTTATCCAGCAAGATCAAAAATAGGCTTAAAACAAATTGAATAAGAGAGGCTTAAATAGGATTTGAGAGAAGAGTACCCGTGGTAGGCACAGTACAAATAGCCTATTGTGTAGCTTTGTGCTTAACAACAAACAAACAATTTAACGTTTGAAACTCGAATTTTAGCGTCATAAGCCCAGAAACTTACCACTGAGCCACTGGGGAAGAGAACAGAAGTTAAATAATATTGACCAATTTCTTTTAGATCTATCGACAAAAAGCAGACATTAAATAATATTGACAAGTTTCTTTCAAAGCTTTTAACGTAAAACATACATAAGTAATAGTATTAGGGTCTATATCTTCCATACTACATTACTTGAAACTGTAAACTTGGTTTCGATTTACCATAGAATTAGAAAGATCCGTATTAAAATCAGACGAAAGTTCGTGCCCACCTATTTATCCGTTACACCAAGATTAGTTTTATTAACACATATTTCAAAATACTACCGTCATATTAATGAGAGTTTGATATGACCTTCCTGAAGTAATTTGCTGTTTCCACATTGAACAATTACGTACAACTAAGATATTTCTATAAGTTTAGATATTGAATAAAACAGTTTACCTTCTCGAGGAAAAAGGAACTTGATATCGTTTTAGGGAGCCTTAAAACCGTACTGAAATACTTGCTAGAAAAAAAATATAGATAAATCAAACTAAGTCAACTTACTGAGTGAATTGGTTGATTGTAAATATCCCTGATATTCCTACGCGACTAAGTATAGCGCGCGGTGATCTGGTAATTCGATTTGCAAAACGTGTAAACTTATTATTTTGATATATATTATACAAAAAGTCCTAACTTAACCCCACTCGTCATTTATAAACTGGACCTTTCAATTTCTAGTAACAGTTAAACAATGTTAATTTTGTGTTACAATATATTATCATATAAAGATGTTCTCAATAAACTTTTAACGCAATTAACACAACACCTATGCATAAAATATGATTTTTCTTATCTATCAATAAAAAAAAGTAATGGCAACTTTTTTATACAGAGTATCGTATTACGTAAATGTGTGTTCTGCACACTAACTAACTTACTATCTTGCACACTTATTTAAGCTTCAATATTTCACAAATTTCCTAGATGAGAGCTTTTTTTTCGCCATTGTTGGAAATGAACAATAATATTATTCAAGCTTCTAAAACCTAAACGTGAAACCCAATCTAGCATTCAATTCACCACACGTTACTGAATACATCTCCAACTGCTAACCCTGAACAACAATAAAACTATACTTTATGTGGTGATGGCGTTTTGAAAATGTCTTTTACTTGCGCAGTAATCCTATATTTATATATATATAGGAATTTAAAGACTATGAACTTTAATCAGTTAGTCTGGCTGAATAATTCACTAGAATCAATTAGTACATTCAACACTGCATATTTTTTGAAATTCTTATATAAACATAGGGAGCACTATAATTTGGTATATAAACATAGGGAGCACTATAGTTTGTTATATAAACAAGTGGAATACTATAATTTATTATATAAACAGTTGGAACACTATAGTTTGTTATATAAGCAGTTGGAGCACTATAGTTTGTTATATAAGCAGTTGGAGCACTATAGTTTGTTATATAAACATAGGGAGCACTATAGTTTGTTATATAAACAAGTGAAATACTATAATTTATTATATAAACAGTTGGAACACTATAATTTATTATATAAACAGTTGGAACACTATAGTTTGTTATATAAACAGTTGAAACACTATAGTTTGTTATATAAACAATTGGAATACTATAATTTATTATATAAACAGTTGGAACACTATAGTTTGTTATATAAGCAGTTGGAGCACTATAGTTTGTTATATAAGCAGTTGGAGCACTATAGTTTGTTATATAAACATAGGGAGCACTATAGTTTGTTATATAAACAACTGGAATACTATAATTTATTATATAAACAGTTGGAACACTATAGTTTGTTATATAAGCAGTTGGAGCACTATAGTTTGTTATATAAGCAGTTGGAGCACTATAGTTTGGAATATAAACAGTTGAAACACTATAGTTTGTTATATAACCAGTTGGAGCACTATAGTTTGTTATGTAAATAGTTGGAACACTATAGTTTGTTATGTAAACAGTTGGAACACTGTATTTTATTATATAAACAGTTGGAGCACTATAGTTTGTTATATAAGCAGTTGGAGCACTATAGTTTGGTATATAAACAGTTGAAACACTGTAGTTTGTTATGTCTTACCTCAAAAAGAAAAATGTATCAACAGAAACTGTAGCATTAGAAACAGCAAGGAATGCGAAGTTTGTGCCAATCTTTGTCATCTCTATAAGGTTTTCTAAAAAAAATGAATCACATAATTAAAAGTTAATTAAATTTTATTTCATCATGAAACTTGCCTGATATACTAGGTAACACAAGGAAGTACTTAAAAACCCTATTGTGTTACCTAGTATATCAGG